TGTTAGAGGCAGCAGAAGAGCTGTGATTTGGTTGGAGGTTTTCCTTCCAGCAGGAAAATGAACTTCAACATGCAGCCAGAACAACAATGGAACGCTAAAGCTAGTTTCATCGGCTGAAGCCGCCATGCGCTTCTCGTTGCGTCACACCTCAACCCGCCTCAAAGCCAACGCTGATTGGACGTTCGTTTGGTGAACGGCTCCAAATTTTCTTTAACAGAGAGTCTCCAGACTGATCTGCGAGTGAAACCTTGAAAGCTCGTCAGATCAGGATGGTCTCACGAGGCTACATTTTGAATGGCTGCTACTGTGTTCTGACGTTTGTTTTGACTGTGATGGGCGACACAGATGAGGTGGTTATTAGGGTGGAAGAGCGTCAGACTCAGTCATTGTGCGTTAGGTTTTATAGTGATTCAAAGTGAAAGTCGATTTGAACCTCAAATCCATCAGGAGAAGCTTTCTGAAAGCAAAGGAAGGAAAATGGGCCTAGAGCAGAGTATGTAGTCTATATAAATTTAGCAAAAATGCTACCCTAACAAGCTAACACCTAAAGCAATGTTATTAGAAGAGGCTGTGATGTAGGTCTTGATCCTACAGCACACAGCTTCTCAATAGATGCTTAAATAATAAAGTATCGCACAAATTTTGCCATTTAAACTTATGTTTGGATCAGTTTATGATACCTCCTATCATAAACTCATCTCGGTGAGTTTATTACTTTCATTTTTCTGTAGTTGAGTTAGCGTTAGCTTGCATGACCGGCTCTGTCATGCTGACAATGAATTTCAATTCAATTAATTTCTTTTTAGGTCAAAAATGTGTTCTGAATATATTTTAACACTGAAACCGTAAGTACAAACATACAACATTTAAATTTCAGTGGCATTTTTAATTCAAATCCCAGCGACATAGATCTACTTCCAAAAATCACGCGATCTAGCGGAAATCACGCAGCTTTTTCAAATCACGCGAGAATGTGTACAAAACAACAAAGATGGCGCCGGCAACGCTTGTGAGTCGTTTTCAGCGAATGTCGGTGATTTTAAAGTAATTTTGAGTGATAAATATTTTTATTTTGCGATCATTGCACTTGCCCGGCAGGCAAATGCAATTAAATTTGTACTCTCCCGACAATAAAAACTACTTGCCCCGGGCGATCGGGCGATCGTTAACATCGAGCCCTGGGTGTGCCGGTCTGACAGAACACCGGCCCAGTGTTGGTCTCTTTGTAAAAAGTTCCAGACATATGAATGTTTTGCAAAGACACTAAATGAAAAGGCAAAGGGAAATGTTATCTCTTTTGATTGCCTGCCTTTTCAGTTACCTGGGAAAACTTAAGCTTTCTGGCACAAAGTCTGCCCAGCACAAAGCACGCACGCCGATGCGCCCAGTGCATGCCCAGTCTCTTGGCACACTCCCTGACGCTCTCAAGGTGTCCGGACAGCTCATCTTCGTTCTTCCCACTGAAAGTCACCCACAGGAAGGAATAGTCTAGGTCATATAAGGGCAGGAAGTCATCCTGGAGGAGACAACAAACAAAGGAGGTCATTAGGAAATACTGCTTCATTCTCTTCAAAGGGAATGTGTTTGGTGTAAATTGATCTATGTCTCAGTATTTTGTCTAGATCAGCCACATTCACATGAGAAAGAAATTCAGGTCTGTTGTGACCTGACATATGGACGAGCTGTGATTTCTCACTTGGAAGTGTTCCTGGTTAAACAGAGTCAGTGTTGGGTCGCTGAGCTCTGACTCGTCCCCCTCCCAGCTGTTTTCTTCCACCAATAGAGGAGGATCCTCCTGAAACTCATCCAGCTCTTTAAACGTGTCCTCCAGGTTGAAGGAGATGCGTTCTCCCTCTCCAGGCAGAGGATTATGGGAATGATGGAAGGAGGCGCGAGGTGAGGAGTAAGAGACAGAGGCACGAGGGGAGGACTGGTACAGCGTCGTCCCCTCACTTCTTTCAGACATCAGGCTCTGACGGGCGCTGGAAAGACCCTTCAGATCTGTGAAGAAGGAAGATAAGCACTTATCGATTGCTTAAAATAGGTCATTCTGCCATCTTCTTCAGCAAAGTATTACCGTGTTTGGGCCGATTCCGGATGTACATAAAGTCAGCCTCGTCTAATCTGTCTGGGAACACATGAGGGAAGTCAGTTTATGCTTTATTTACCGGGCGGATAACTATTTTTATCAGTAGGAATAAAAATCACTGAAACAACCATTAAGCAAAATAATACTAACATCTACAATAATCAGATTTAATAATCTTTGGGTTTTTAAAGGCCAGAACAAACCGAATCCGATTTTACATCCGATCCGACAGAACAGATTTTACGCAAAGGAGCGTTGGTCCGATTCGACTGAGAGGTTCGACTGAGATAGAGCCCAGGTCTATTGCAGTCGGACTACGCAGCAATTCAGCAGCAATTTCATGGGTCTGAGAGGAAGAGAGACGCAGTTATAAAGTAAAACACAACCGCTTTTGGGGGAAAATACAGAATAAATCTGTTAATCGCACGGGGAAAGAGTCAGTTTTGGAGTCAGGTCCAGTAGTAGCCATTCAAAATTTCCCCACTTTCCTTTGCTGGTCCCCTACAATTCCTTTTTTTTTAACATCAATCTTTGTAGTAAACTACCCTGTGATTTAGTGAAAGGGTGGAGTAAAAAAATATGCACTCCAAGGAGAAGGCCGGTGGCTGGAAGTTAGAGGGGATTTTGCTGAAAGTTGCAGGGATGCGTGCTGCCATGCGGCTGGCGTTAGACTGGGAAGGGCTATTTTGAATGGCTGCTACTGTAAAAAAGAAAGAAAAACTTGGATAAACCTCTCAGATCTCTCTCTAAGAATCACCTCTCTGCCTCGGTCAGCATAGAAACCGTCCCACTGCGTTTATTGCTGTGTTTTTCTTTTCTTTAGATGTAGATCTCATTACGTTTTTGATATATGAACATTCTCTATCTGTTCTGGTTTAAGATGCTGAATAGTAGGGGTGTAAATAATAATCGTTTTGTATCGATGCATCGAT